GCAAGGGCATAGGCTCATCCCTCTAGACTTCAGTGTCCAAGCAGAACTGGATATCCTAGCTCAGCATCCAGGTCACAGCAAAGACGGCCCAGGAGGCCCAGGAGGCCCAGGAGGCACAGGAGAGACGTCAATCAGGGAACACAGAGCAAGAACCTTCAGTGTCACCAGAAGCAAGGTTACTGTACCTTAGGCAAAAGCCTCAAGGCAGAGGAGAGAAACAGAACTGCTCCCACTCCCCAAGGTAACCCTCTAATGTCAGAGACAGAGGAGGAAGGCCCCCCAGCTATGTGTCCCCATGGCAGGCATTGCTTAGTGTGGGACTTCAACCCCTCCATCTGTTCAAGCCCTCAGGCTTCTCACACTGGCTGAGCAAATGTGGGACACAGGTGACATCTTTCTTGCTCTTTTCTACCCACAGTTGCTACAAAGCAAAACGTCTTCCACCTCCTGAACAGGGGCCTTGCCATTTATGGGAATCTATATTTCAGGTATAAACACCCTGCTCCCCATTTTAATACCTCTTCTTTCTCCCTGTCCAACCTCAACCCACAGTGGTTTTAAACCCACTCCGAGACCAGCCTGAGCTACCCCCTTTTCCCACCCCCCAGTCAGGAAAAAGGGAAGGAAAAGAAAAACTCAGAAACCTGAAGGTTGTTTGGAATTTATTCTCTTAAATAAAAATGGTAACATTTGTTTAAAAAAAATTAAAAGCACAACACCTTAGTTTCACAGTAACCACAAAAACAAAGTTACACAATTAAATAAAAAGAAACTCACAAAGAAACACGCCCAAAACTCACAACAGCACAGGTTAAAAACAAGGGCAAAATAAAGGCCTCAGGGAAGGCCAGAGGTGGACAGAGGATGCATTCCTGGGCACAGCTTGTCTTCCCTGTTCCAGCTTCTTTGTATCACTGCTGTGGGAACCAGGCTTGCCGCCTGGCTCCTGCCCCCACCCTTCCCTCTAACTCCCAGCTGAATGCCCAGGAAAAAAGGTAACCCCTAATTCACCCGACAGGCTTTCAAGGCCACACTGGGGCCCCTTTTAGGAGGTTCCACTGTCCTACAGAGATACACTGAAAACCAAGAGACAGCAGCAAGTTGCAATAACTAGCCCAGTGGAACCAGAATACGAGCCTGAAAGTAAGACGGAGGCAAAGTGGGGTGTTTGGTTCTCTGTGGTATTCCACGAGCAACAGAACCCCTGCTTTCCTAGTTTGCTCTTCAATCAACTTTCTGAAATTGGAGTGTATACTGCCCATTTTCTGAGCTACCCACCCCTCAAGTCTCTACCTCCACAGGTATGGTGGCTGCTCTGTCCCCTCCCAGTCCTGACCAGAGCACTGAACCAGGCCAGTGGCGTGCCTCTCAAATGTACAATGCCTTGGTTTTTAGAACTAAGGAACAAGAAGCTTTAGAAACAGCTTCATTATTATTGTTATTATTATTTAGTCACGATATGTAAATATCTACTCATATGTATGAAATTAAACCTATATAAATAGATATGTTTATATAAATATCCACATATCATCATCCATAATGACTCTTGGGGTAAGACTGGGAAGTTAAGCTGGATTGCAAAATCTCTGCTCTACTAATAGGTTTTCCAGAAATGCCTCTAAGGGATTTATATGGGAAGCAGTGAGATTTCCTAACTTCCTCCTGCCAGATAAGAACCCCAGGATACACTGGAATCCCTTGTACAGGGTAGCCATTCCAGCTGGTGTGTGAAATACCTTCATTTACTAATGCCCATTCAGCATCCAAACTATGGAAGCTAATGGTGATCACGCAAAGGGTGTCTGGGGACAGGGAGCAGGCATCTGCCATGTATTACTCTGCTAGGTAGCTTTTTAAATTAAGATCACCTTTTCCATAAGACAAGATGGAACACAAAAGTTTCTCCCATCCCATCTCTGTTGCCTATACTAGAAGAAAAGCTCTTCTGTTTTTGTTACGATACCCCATTGTCTTTATGTAACGGAGACAAAAAAAGGGATCTCCAAAACCTGCAATTCAGGGTCTTATATCCAAGAGGATAAGATCCCATTTGGGGTTTTTCTTTCTCTGCCTGTTGTTGTCCAAACTTTTCCTGAAGTCAGGGTGGAACTATGAGGCCCAGGTAAGAAAATCCGTCCCAGGTCCACTAATCTGTAGCAGTAAATATAAGAAGCTTAGAAACAAAGTATTTACAGATTTTGAGAAGAGAAAAGAGAGTTTGTATATTAAAAGCACATTCAAACAAAAATGCTGTAAACAATGTCCTCCAAACACTGAATTAGGCAGCAGTTACAGATTAGGTTACCAGACAACCAGACAACACTATAGAGCAGGCCTAGAGTCTTTTTAACTTGTGGGTTGTGTTTGATTTTTTTTTGGCAATAGCACTAATTTTGGCATATGGGGGAAAGAACAGAAAGAAGAAGAGGGAAATGCCACAGAATAAAGAGGAGGTGCAGAGCAAAAGCACAGCAAAGTGAAGTGCCAGCTACAGTCATAGCTTTACCAGCTCTGCCTCCTGAGGGATGGTTTATTTATACATAGCAGAATCAAGTTCATCATTTACAACTTTTTTTTTTGTCTAGAGTGCAGCAGAGAAGACGTACCATGGATCTGGGTTAATGACTATTATCTACGACACACATTCAAGAGCGCTGTCAAACACCTGAGTTTTTCTGAAGCTTTCAAAAGGAAATTCTAGTTAATCAATCAAAGCTTTAGTTTGGGATTTAAAGAAGGAAATCCCTATAGAAGGAGAAAAAGCTATTTCATGCCAACGATAAAATACCACCCATAATTCTGTTCCTTTTCTACAGAGGCTAGCAAAAATTAGATACTTCACAGGAAAAGTGCTGGTACTTAGGAGCGTGTTCAGGCTCACAGCTGTCATTTCCAAAAGTTTAAGTGACCAGAGGTGGATACAGACTGAATCTCATTGGCCCTAAGCCCTGGCCTTCCTGCTGCCTAGAAGGTTACTTAAACTGGGGGACAGTGCCTGTCCCGTTCACCTAGGGGTTCGAGTGGTGTGTGACACATTTGGGATGCCACATCTTGTACCCCTTGTGTGATCACAGGTGAGTCATCTTCAGAATCAAGAACCATGGGGACAGATACATCTTCAGGGCCTTTTTTTTTTTTTTAATTCTTTAAGGACATTGACAACTCTCAACTCTCTCTGCTTTGTAGAGTGTTCTTCTCCTTCTCCATGGAATGCTTAATTCTCTACAATTCATAAAAACCCGAAATCCATTATGCTTTCAAATCAGACGATAAGAATGGCAACCAGATGGGAAAGTGAACAAGCCCAGGTTTCTCAAGAACAACCTGAAGTTCATTGTGTTTAATTCTTTTTAAAGAATGTTCTGTACTCTATTCCTAAAAAGAATTTCATTTCTTTGAGCTGTTTTACCGAGTAGCCAAATTCCTTGGGAAATCCCTCTCGTATGGAAAAAAGCCCAAACTTGATAAGGTGGTACTCTCACCTGAATGCAGAGCCCAAGCCTCTGTCTAGATCCCTTTGAGTTCTCTCCGGCAGCGGTTCCCCCAGTGCTCTGCAAAGGGCTTTTATTACTTCATGAGAGACAGATTATAAAGGGTTTCGAGGCTATAGATGGTTCCAGTCATTCATGGCTTAAACATTTAACAAAATGTTGGTACGACCTGCAGGGCACTTAAAAAAGAGCTTCCTCAGATTATAAGGGTACACACAGTAGAGGAGACTAATCCAGGTGGGGTTTCACTGCACCCCGGGGGTACTACTCAGCCTCTGGCATGTTCTCCCTCTGTCAGAATGCACACCATGAGATTCATATTAGTTCTTAAGCACGGGGAAAGGGCAACTCTGGGAACTTTTCATCTGAAGGCCAAGTGGGTAATAATTCTCTTTTCCCATGATGGAAATTCTAACACCAACTCCTCCTCCATAGTTTCTGGCATAAGCCAATAATCTTTAGTTTTTACATGGTAATTTTTATGAGTTTGTAAATGGTTGCTTTAGATATATTTGCTTTGAATGAGAGGAAATGTGTAATAGACAGAAACATGGCCCTGTTGACTTCCTCTTTCACCAGACAGCGACCCTGGGTGGTGAACAATGTGGGCTGCACTGAGGGCATCAGGACTACTAAGCAATTTGTGGACCTGTCTCACAGGCTAGTTTAACATGGAACAGAGAGAAAGGCAATTTTAAGGAAAAAATAAATCCATAATTCTTCACAACAAGCTTAGTGTCCATGAACCCTTCCTAAGCCCTGCCCTGCTAAGATGAGAATACATGTGTTTTTAGAGGTAGAAATGGTGTCATTCACCTCCTGACACAAAGAAATGGTTAGTGAAAATGGGACAAATTAGGGCTTCATCCCAAAGTGATCAGGACAGGGCATGTCCTTTTGTGGTTATAGGTCAAAGAGAAGAGAAGGGTCAGTTCACTTAGACACCTATAATAGGGAATGAGATGCAAGAATTTCAAGTTCAGGTAAATAAATGCAAATGTAGATCATGGGGCCTTATCACAATTCCATGCTCTGTTAAGAGTCCCAAACTAGAACTACAGGTAGGCTCTGTAACTCTGAATTCTCACCTGGGTCAGTGATAAAAGCAGCATGCTCTGAATTCCTGATTACCTAGACAGAGCCTAGACCATCCACCCCCATGTGTTTGATGGAGGTGGGCAGGCCCCAAGGCTATAGCAATATTTTGATACAGAGTAGACATTACTGAAGCCTGGGTGATAACGCTTACCAGAAGGTGCCCCTACTGGCTCACAGTCTGCCAGTGAAACTCCCCTCTTATTTGTACCAGCACCTCCGACAGGCCATAGAGAAAGGGGACTCCGAATGCAAGCAGCTGGCACATGAAAAAGGAGTCCAAGGGGTTTTGGGCCACTTGATGCCCAATTGAAGAAATGTTGCTTTGGAGGTGCTGGCTCATCCCCCTGGCCTTGTCACACAGGCCGAGCGAGTGACGCGCCACCCAGCCAAACAAGGAAGTGAGGCTACCTGGAGTTCTCTCAGCAGGGCTGGTGATGGTGCTGGCCCGTCCATTTGCATCTGCAGTAGGGCCATCCTGCAGGGGTCCTCTGGCCTCCTAGGAAAGTTGGCAAGAAAAAGAAGAGTGACTAACTGAAACACTCAAATCTCAGGAGGCAATGATACCTGCCTGGCTAACTTGCTGCTTTCACCAATCAACCCAGAGATGTATTCCTCACAAGTAAGTCTTTCTTTTAAAACAAACAAACAAACAAACAACAACAACAACAACAACAAAAACAGAACATATTTCATGTGGAAGTCACCAAAAGTTAAAATCTAGCTCGACTCTAGTATACCTTTTTCTACGAATCCCTCTGTAGTCAACAGGAGACCTCCCAAGGAAGGTCTCGCCCTGTTAAGGTGACATCACAGAGTAAAGAGAATTCCCACTTTGCCTTGACAAGGGCAAAGGATGGAGCAAGTTATTCTCATTAAAAGAGAGAGAGAGACAGAGAGAGAAAGAAAAAGATTCTTAGATCTAAGTAGTTCACACAATAAAGAGTGAAATCAATTGTCAGGCAGAGCCAAGTTTACAGCCAAGTTCCTTTTCAGGGTGTCCTTTCTCAGAGAGATGCTTCTTTACAAAGGCAGAAGTCTTCCTTTACACAGAGTGAGCAAAAGGGAGAGTCTGACAGTCTCTCAAATCCAACTCAGGTGGTGGATGGAAAATACCTTAGTGAAATGCAGCATTAGATTATGCTTGAGAAGTTGGTTCTCTCCCCATCAACTGCGACCATCTCTCAGGCCCTTCCCACCCACAAGAGAGGAAATTCGGTGGCCAATCAGCAGGCCCTGCCGGCCACATCCAGACCTGTCACAACACTGAAATGGTGCCTGCTGCTTCTCCCCTATTTAGAGATGGGTCACCATTACCTTTCCAGACAGAGGAGTCACTGCTGGTCTCTTCCTCTGTGTGGAGCCAGAGAGTCGGTAACAGTAGTGTGGTTTGCAGTAGAATTTACCTGCAGGTAGCAAGAGGCAGGGGAAAAGGGAGTGAGCGAAACTCTGTAATTTTGAACTTGACTCCCTGGTCTTCATACACTTTTCTCCATCTCCTCTGGCCTCAGGGAACCATCACTACCACTCAGGCCTTTCCCAGGCCCAGGCTTCTCATCCAGGGAGGCCACACCCTCCCTATACACTTTGAACAGCCTTCCTCTCCCCTTTGCCTGAAAGGGAGGGGGTTCCTTTGGATATGTGAAGGCCATTGAGCCATCATTGCCCAATCAGTGCCCAGAGCAAAGATGTAGGGCTTACATGGCAGGGCCAGCAAACAAAGTGGCAGTGTATGCAGAACAAAGATATAGTCACATGAAAAGCTGGGAGTAGCATTTCTAGGGAAACCAAGAATGAATACAAGTGCAGAGTGGAGGCGTGAAGGCTACAGGGTCGGGTAGCATTGAACATTGACTCTGACAGAATCCCTCTGCTGCTCCCTTCTCCTGTAGCCACCACAAGCTAGTGCTGGTCAAACTGCAGCTCATGACCCCTTAGTGGGTCAAGATCAGCATTCAGATACAACACAAAACAAAACCAAAAAATCCTGCAATGGACTATGAATAGAATGAAAGAGAATAAAATAGAATAAAAAGCATTAGAGTACACAGTACATAAGTGGAGTTTGTTTCTTACAACCTCTGTCTATATGTGTCCCATACTGGGTCCTAATATGATATGTATTTCCTACTGCAGGTATGGTAAAAAGTTTGTAAAACACTGATCTTGGCTTTTCCTATGACACTGATATTGGGATCCAGTCACAAAGGTCATTTTTTTTCTGACTCATCATTACTCCCACTTAAAAAGTCAATGCTTTAGAAATTAAAGGATAGACCCTATTATAGAAACTGTTGAAACAGGAGACAACTGATATCACAGAAACAAAAGGCCACCAAAAAGGAAAGGACAAAAAGGAGGGAAGCCCAGAAGAGTAAAGGGGAGGGGACACACAACTGATTACGACTGATATCATAGAAACAGAAAGGATCATGAAAAATTACTATGAACAGTTATACGCCAACAAGCTGGATAACCTAGAAGAAATGAATAAATTTCTAGAAACATACAACCTACTACACCAAGACTAAGTCATAAAGAAATAGAAAATCTGAATAGACCAATATCGAGTAAGGATGTTAGGTAGCTAGTCAGAAGTGAGTGACAAGGGGAACAAAGGAAGAGGGGCCTAGAGACTGCCCAAAGAACACCCCAATGGTAGTAGAATTCTGGGTAAGCACATGTGCACTAGCACTAGGCAAAGTTATATAGCAGCCAGGTGTCAATCAAAATGACCTCACTTGCCAATCACCTAGGAATGCCTTTGGAACCACCCATCATGGCCCAAATATAAGGCAGATATTCTCATTTCTGGGCCCTTTTTGCCCTTCTGGGTTCTCTCCCTTCTTGGTGGACTTTTTGTCCTTTTGTAGCAATTTTGGCCCCTTTGTGTTGGTTACAGCACTGGGACATACTCTGTCTTTCTCTATGTGCCTCCTTGGGGTATTGTCTTTCTAAAAAATATTTTTATTAAAACCATTAAATCTCAATGACCTGTGATTCTTCATTGCCGTCATTTAAGGAAGAACCAAGGAAAAATGCTAACTATAGGTCTGCACTGTCATCATCTCTCTCCTTCCTGGCCTGACGTTTGGGGGGCACCAAACTCTGATTGGCCCCAACAGTGACAAGGAGATTGAATCAGTAAACAAAACCTTCCCCAAGCAGAAAAGCCCAGGACTAGATGGTTTCACTGGTGAATTCTAACAAACATTTAAAGAAGAATTAACAGCGAGCCTTCTCACTTTTCCAAAACAAATGAACAGGAGGGTACACTTCCAAACTCATTTTACTGAACCAAGACTATACTGATACCAAAGCCAGGTAAGAAAACTACAAGAAAAGAACATTACAGACCAATATCCCTGATGACTATAGATGCAAAAATTCTCAACAAAATATTAGCAAACAGAATTTAACAGTACATTAAAAGGATCATTCACCATAATAAACTGCGGTTTATCCCTGGGATGCAAGGATGATTCGACATAAGCAAATCAATAAATGTGATACACTACATTAATAGAATGAAAGATAAAAATCATATCATCATCTCATTAGATGCAGAAAAAGCATTTAACAAAGTACAACATCCTTTCATGATAAAAATGCTCAACAAATTGGGTAAAGTAGTAATGTACCTCAACATAATAAAGGCCATATATGACAAATCCACAGTGAACATCATATTCAATGATGAAAGGTTGAAAGGTTTACCTCTAAGATCAGGAATAAGAAAAGGGTGCTCACTTTCACCACTCCTATTCAACATAGTACTAGAAGTCTTAGCCAGAACAATCAGATAAGAAAAAGAGGCATCCAAATAGAAAAGGAAGAAGTAATACTGTCTTTATTTGCAGATGATATGATCTTATATATAGAAAACTCTAAGGACTTCACCAAAAATCTTCTAGAACTAATCAACAAATTCAGTAAGTTGCAGGATATAAAATCAACATACATAAAACAGTTGTGTTTCTACACACTAACAAAATATGTGAAAAAGAAATAAAGAAAACAAACCCATTCATAGTAGTATCAAAAACAATAAAATACTTAGGAATAAATCTAACCAAGAAGGTGAAACAACCGTATACTGAAAAATACAAGACACTGAAGGAAGAAATTGAAGAAGACACAAATAAATGGAAAGATATCCCAAGTTCATGGAATGGAAGAATGAATGTTATTAAAATGTCCATATAACCCAAAGCCATCTATAGATTCAATTCGATCCCTATTACAAAATGAAAAAACAATCCTAAAATTTACATGGAACCACAAAAAATTCCTGAATAGCCAAAGCAATCCTGAGAAAGAACAACAAAGCCGGAGCCATCATATTCCTGGCTATAGTAATCAAAACAGTATGATACTGGCATAAAAACAAACACATAAATCAATGGAATAGAAAGCCCAGAAATAAATCCACATGTATACAATCAACTAATATTTGACAAAGGAGCCAAGAATACTCAATGAGGAAAAGAGAGTCTCTTCAATAAATGGTGCTTATTTTTCTACAAGGGAAGTTGAGTCGTGGGTTATTTTTTTGATCTTGGATACAATCTCCTTTTACAATCTATAATAAACTATTTCAATTTTAATTCTGGCCAAGATAAAATATAATCGGGGAAAAATAAAATATATTAGTGCTTGGATCATATACTACCTTCTTATCTGTTCTGCATCTTTTTAATTTTTTTAATTTTTAAAATTTTTAATTAGTTTCAAGTATAAAGTACATTGGTTAGACATCTATATAGTTTATAAAATGGTCCCCCTCAATTGCTTCCTCTCACCCCTGACCCTCCGCCTAGCCAACGTATTCATTCAAATTGCATTCCTTATGCTGCACTCCCCATCCTCATGTCCATCCATCAGCTACTAATTTGTACTTCTTTAACCCTTCACCCCATTCTCCCAGGTCCCCAAAACTCCCTCCTCTCTGTCCATTACCAAACTGTCCATTATATTTGTGAGTCTGTTTTGATAGTTTGTTCTTTATATTCCTTAGATTCCACATATAAGTGAAATCATATAGTGTTTACCTTTCTCTGACTTCTAGGTCCATCAAAGCAATATCTTTTTCCATCCCCTTCCTTTTAGTGTGTGTCTTTTAATCTGAAGTGAGTCTCTTATAGGCAACATGTAGGGGTCTTGTTTTCCTTTCCATTCATCC